CTGGTGTGGGGGGCCACACGGCCCTGCTCTTTGAACACGTCACTGGGAAGGAAGATTGTTTATCTGAGAAAGGCCACGACTGAAGTTTAATGCTTCATGTTCCCCACCCAGTATTCAGCCGTGAACGACGTAGAGATGCGTGACATGAGGTCCCCAAACCATGGAACTTGAAGCCTCAACAGCTGGAACCCCAAGAAGATAGATAAGAGCCTCCAGAGAGACCGTCCACCCAGTGTGGTGAGCGCCAAAACTTTTGGGGTCACAAGTGACCCTTGCAAATTCCTCATTGTCAGAAAGCACTTGTGGAGCCCAGCGTGGTGGCCCACAGCTGTCATCCAGCAAGTGGGGAGATGGAGGCGAGTTTGAGAATGGCCCGGGCTACAGAGTGAAGCCCTGTCTACACACAACAAGCAAACAAACAGGATTTGAGGTGTTCGGGAACTGGAGTCTTTCCACGGGTGGGAAATCGTCTACCTCATTTTGGGCCGTGTAGAATGTTCAAAGAGCTGAAAGTCTTCGGCCACTGAGACTCAACCTCAGAATCTCTCTTTCACTGGAGTCATTCAAGGCTGTTCTCACTGTGTAGCCAAGGCTGGCCTCAAACTCACAGAGATCCGTCTGCCTCTACCTCCCAAGTGCTGGAGTTAGAAGCGTGTGCTACCACACCCTTCTCCGTGTCCTTTTTTATGAAGTAATGAAAAAAATATATATTTATTTATTAAAAGCTATATAGTTTTGTATGAATATTTTTGAGACAGAGTTTTATATAGCCCCGGCTAGCCTCCAACTTACAGCCTCCTTGGTCTCCTTTTTGATGAAGTAAAGAAAAATATATATTTATTAAAAGCTATATAGCTTTGTATATATTTTTTGAGACAGAGTTTCATATCGCCCAGGATAGCCTCAAACTTACTAAGTAACCAAGAATGATCTTACTAATTTATTTTAACTTAAAAGGTTACATATATATCCCAGGCTAGCCTCAAACTTACTATGTAACCAAGAGTGATTACTAATTTATTTTAATTTATTTGACTTCAAGCTTAAACGTCCCCTGCCCCCTGTTCCCTTCCCTCTCAGTCCTTAATTCTCCCCAGACACCATTCTGACTTATGTCTTAACTACACACATTGTTTTATTTAACTGTATAAAAATCTGTGAACTACAAATGAAAGAATGTATTTGTCTCTCTGAGGCCAACTCACCTTATTTAATGTGATTCTTTCCAATTGTATCCATTTTCTTGAAAATGATGTAACTTTGCTCTTCTTTGTGTCTGAAAAAAAAAAAATCCCCATTGTGTATCATCTTTCCTTTCCCCTGTGGACCCACACAAAGGTGGATCCATATCTGAGTTATTGGGCGCATGCTGCAGTAAACACCAGCGTGCAACTCTCTCTGTGATGTGTTGACCTGGAGTTTTCTGGGTAAATGAATCCTCTGGAATGGCATAGCCAGGTCTTATGGCTTTGGAGGAAGTTGTGTACTGAGGTCCTCCATTTTTTACTGTGTTTGTTGCTGTTTTCTTAATGACTGCTATTCTGATTGGATTGAGATAGACTCTCAATAGTGTGTGTGTGTGTGTGTGTGTGTGTGTGTGTGTGTGTGTGTGTGTTAAAGGCTGGGATTAAAGGCATGTGCCACCACCACCTGGCCCTTCAATATGTCTTTAACCTGCATTTGTCTCATGGGGCATTGTGGTCGTTTGAAGGAAAATGGCCCCTACAGGCTCATAGGGAGTGGCCCTATTAGGAAGTATGGATTTGCTGGTGTTAGGATGTATTTCATTTGTTTACGCTGTGAATATTTGTTTAATGATGCCAAGATGTGTTGCGTCTGTTTAACTATGTGAAGCTGTGTTACTGTGCCTGTCTAAAACACCTGATTGCTTTAATAAAGAACTGAACGGCCAATAGCTGGGCAGGAGAGAGGAAGGGCAGGGCTGGCAGGCAGAGAATAAATAGGAGGAGAAAACTGAGGAGAGAGTAAGGGGCCAGCTACCCAGCCAGCCATGGAGTAAGAGTGAAAAGAAAGGGATATAGAAGTAAGAAAAGGAAAAGGCCCAGAGGGAAAAGTAGACAGGATGATTTAAGTTAAGCAAAGCTGGCTAGAACCAAGCCAAGCTAAGGCCGATCATTTATAAGCAATAAGTCTCCATGTGTGTTTATTTGGGAGCTGGGTGGTGGGCCCCCCAAAAGACCAAGAGTAAAGCATAATGAAACAACCAATAACAGTTGGAGTAGGTGTGTCACTGGGGGCGGGCTCTGAGGTTTGAAACGCTCCAGTCAGACCCAATGTGGTCTGCTGATCCAGATGTCAAGCTCAGTTCCCACTCCAGCACCGTGGCTTGCTTCATGCTGCCATGCTTCCTGCCATAGCCACATGGTGGCTCACAACCATCAAAAAATAAGATCTGGTGCCCTCTCCAGGTGTGCAGGCAAACATGCAGTAGAATACTGTATATGTAACAAATAAAATCTAAAAAAAAAAAAAAAAAAATGTTTCTTTATAAGAGCTGTCTCTGTCATGGTGTCTCTTCACAGCAACAGAAACCCTAAGACAGACGTATCTGTATTGCCATTTGAACTCCCATCTTTTGAGAACTGATATTCATTTTGTGAGCCCATTTATTGAATGGGTTGTTGTTCTCCTTGTTTAGGTTTTTTTCTTTCTTTCTTTGAAATGGGGCCTCTGTGTAGGTTTGGCTATCCTCGAACTCACAGAGATTCTCTTGCCTCTGCCTCCTGAGTGCTGGGACTACCACACTCTGTGCTTAGATTTTTAGTGTTTTCCCTACAGTCTCCTCAACAGTTCCCCAATCCACACTTACATTAAGGCCCACGATGCATTTAGGTTTGATTTCTGTTCAAGGTGGGACATAGGGGTTGAGTTTCATTCTTCACCATGTAGTGGACATCATTGTTTCCCCAACACCATTTGTCGAAGGAGCTGTCTTTTCTCCACTGTTTATTTTTTAGCATCTTTATAAAAAACCAAGTCATCATTGGCCAGCCGTCGTGGCGCACACCTTTAATCCCAGCACTGGGAGGCAGAGGCAGCCTGATCTACAGAGTGAGTTCCAGACAGCCAGGGCTACACAGAGAAACCCTGTCCCCCCAAAAAACAAACAAACGAAAATAAAATAAATAAAGAAGCCAGGCATTGGTGGTGCATAGGCGGATCTCTGTGAGTTCGAGGCCAGCCTGGTCTCCAGAGCGAATGAACCCTTTCCCAAAAAACAAAAAAAAAAAAAAAAAAAAAAAAAAAAAGCACACTTTCACAAGTATGTGTGTCCGCACTACACACTCTCATATGGGGGTCTCTGCAAACCCCAGGGTGCACAGAGTCCAGAGAGGCAGGAAGACTTGGTAGCTGTTGCAGTTTCCTGAAGCCATTTGACCCCAAATAAACACAGACACTATAGTAATTATGAAACTGTTGGCGGTGGCTTGGGCTTCTTATTGGCTAGCTCTGTCTTAATTATTAACCCATTTCTATTAATCTAAGTATTTCCATGTGGTCTTATCTTAACGGAGAAGGGTTCTACCTTCCTGGATCTCACACGGCCTCTGCTGTCTGCCTTATACTTCCCAGAATTCTCCTCATCTTCTAGTCCTGCCTCTATTGGCCACAGTGTTTTATTCATCAACCATAAGAGAAACGTATACACAGAAGGCCCTCCCCCATCAGGTAGCTGGTGTTGGTTCAAACTTCCAGAGTCTGACCTTGGGTAGCTTATTTGAAACATATTTATGCATGGGACAATTTGGGGGAAAGTTTCCTGGTATAACGTAATTCCGAGTGCACAGGGAGACATAATTGCATTGAAACTCTTCTCAAAGTATGTATCATGTCTGAAGGGTGGGTTTCAATGAGTCCACCAGACCCAAGATAAATGATAAACAGGTATTCATTAGGGAAGCACTTACACATAAAATAAATAACCTCCACAGTCTTCCAGCTCCAAAAGATGCAGTCTCTGACCACAACCCAAGAGAGTGAGCCAGCCTTTCCTCTACCTTATAAGGGGTCATGGCTGAACACCTGAAGCCACGCCCATAGGGTGTGGCCTCCACGACGGGCTCACTGACAAAGCAAGATACCGCTATACTTGTCTTTCATGACTATGGACTCTGCAGAGTGTTATCTTGAGGGCGGAGGGAACAATCTGCCTTGTGTGGCCTCAGTCATATGGACAGTGCAGAGGCCATCTGGGTCATTTATTAGCTCCCTCTGATCCTGCTTGGCGGAGAGCATACAGAAAGGAAGGAGAAGTAATTGATGAGGAAGTAAGGGATCGACCCTATAACTGAGAATATCTACAAAGCAACTTAGAGAGCAGAGCCAAATCCTGAGTAGTTGTTGGGGGCCATGGCAAAAGTAACCTTGAACCTGTAAGAGACTTGGGCAGAAGCTGCCAGCATAAACACACTATTATTAGAAGAATAGCTGCCTTTGATCCTTTACTTACTGATTGTTTGGTTTTTGGTTTTTCGAGACAGGGTTTCTCTCTGTAGCTTTGGAGCCTATCCTGGCACTCACTCTGGAGACCAGGCTGGCCTCGAACTCACAGAGATCCACCTGCCTCTGCCTCCCAAGTGCTGGTATTAAAGGCGTGGGCCACCAACGCCCGGCCAATCCTTTTCTTACTGATACATAACATCTGGGCTCATGAAGTAGTTTATAGAAGGAAAGACACATTTCATGGTCAGGTTACTTAGCAACCCTTCCCCCCTTCTAACCCACTATCTAACACCTGCACCCTGTGTGCGACCTTGCTAACCTCCTGCACCCTCAAGGACTCACGCACAGGGACATTCCTCAGCCTGGTTATCAGGCAAGCAGCCTCAAACAACCTCTCCCTGCCTGTTACCCCTATATCAGGTCCCTGTGAAAAATAAAAATTGGCAGCTTGATCAGAAACCTGTCTTGCTGTCGTTCTTTGTTCCCCCGGACCCTTCCATTCCATGTTATTTGGTGACTGCAGCACATGGGGTGTGAGCTAGCGTTATTCCCCGCAGGTCGGGACAAGTAGTGATAGGCAGCTAAAAACAGCTTGCCCCAACTGACGTGGCCCAATATTTTAAATTTTGCTCTTTTAGTTTGTTTCTCGTGAAAGTTAAACACTCATTTAGGTGTTAATTAGATGAGCAGGAGAAGATAATGTCAACCTTGAAACGAGAAGCCAGTACCTTAGGGGCTTTATGTCCCAGTTGTCACTGCTTCTGTACTAGAAGCAGGGCCTATTTTAGTTTTGCCTCCACGAAGGGACCGTTGAACAATCTATATTGGGTTGTTTATACTGTGAGGGTGTAAGGTGTTCTGTGTTGCCTGGTGTTATGGTGGAAGCTTCACCCCAGCCCCCTGGCATCCATATCCCCAAAGAGTCTGGGATGCTATGGGGAAAGCTTCATCCTGGCTCCTCCCCCAGCTCCCTCCAAACCCTGCTGCATCTCAGAAAGCCCGCCCAATGATGATCCCTCCTCTAGAGATGCTCAAGACCACTCCCGCAGGGTATTTAAAATGCTCCCGCAGGGTATTCAAACTGCCCCCCAGAAAATAGACTCCTGGTTTTTCTGGTCTCCCTTTCCTGTCTCCTCTCTGAGGGGCTGGAAGGCCATTCAGGAGCACTGTATCCATTAAACATGGGCTTTTAAAAATTCAGGTTGATTGGGTCTGATTTGGATCGCTGCATCAGCCGAGAGACCTATCAGTGTATAGAAACTTCTCACTTGGGACAATCGAAGAAAGAAGGTCAATGAAAACCAGTACTTAGCCGGGTGTTGGTGGCTCAGGCCTTTAATCCCAGCACTTGGGAGGCAGAGGGAGGCGGATCTCTGTGAGTTCGAGACCAGCCTGGTCTACAAGAGCTAGTTCCAGGACAGCCTCCAAAGTCACAGAGAAACCCTGTCTCGAAACCCCCCCCAAAAAAAAAAGAAAAGAAAAGGAAAATCAGGAGTTGTCAGGTGGTGCCCGCCTTTAATCCCAGCACCCAGGAGGCAGAGGCAGGCAGATCTCTGTGAGTTCGAGTTCAGCCTGGTCTACAGAACTACACAGAGAAACCTTGTCTCAAAAAGTCAAAACAAAACAAGCCAAATAAACAAAAACAGGTTGAAAACCAAAAACCAACAAACAAAAAGGAGTCAGACATGGGGTAAAAAGCTGGAAGATCAGAGAACCAGGAGCAGCAGGTAGTTGCTTCTTTCCTCTCTCCTTCCCTAGTCCACAAAGCCCAGATCCTGTCTCTGCCCCAATTTACCACCTCCTCTCCCCACGTCCTGACTGCTGGGATTAAAGGCGGGAGCCGCCACCGCCAGGCCTCTATGGTTAACCAGTGGCCAGTCC